TGGGTTTTCTCAACTCTAAAAGTCTCTTATTGCCCACTACTTCCTCATAAATTGTTAAGTACATTGGGGCCAATAATCAATAGAAATAGTTTCTATTCCAGCCAAAAACTACCTAAAGAAAGGGTTTTCATGCTGGGGCAGTTCAAGATAAAATTAATTTACTTCCAGTTAGGAGCATGAGAACTCAATCAGGTAAGCGATAAAATGTCGTACACATGTGAGGTCTGGGGAGGGCAGGCCTTAAGTATTTTGTTGTTGGAGCAGGCTGAGTATATGAGCTTACTTGATAGATATTTTGGAAGAATTCACACAGAGATATTTCCAGAGGAATTACCTCCCCAGTTAAATGAAAAATCCAGTGAAGGAATGAGAAATATACTTGGTAAATATTACTTAAGAAATGGTGACCCAATGATTTCCTCTGATTTAAATGTATTTTCCCTTTATGGCCTGTAGGGGGCATAGTGAAACAATAGGATTCTGTGAAAGTAGAACCAGGCCTCTGGGATAGTGACCTGGACTGGGTTTTACATCATCCAGAGTGATACCAGTGAAGGGTGGGGCGAGTGCCTCAGGAAATCACAGCGTCAATAACAGTCTCTCTGGAATTATTATTTTTTGTTATAGGCCACCCAGTTTTATGACCTCAAGGTGGGAGGGTGTACACAAACCCAAATACTGTCAGAATGTCTGAATCTTCAGAATATTAATAATGCGTAAAATAATTAAGACAGGGCTTAATTTGATTATTTGATCCCACATTTTTTTTTCCTAAACCATGGATATTCCTCATAATATATTAAACAGTGTAATTCAGTACACTAAATGGTAAGCTCCTTGGGAATAAGGACTATGTGTGTCCATTTTTATTGTCATGTCCATGAACTTTGAATTGCTTTTCTTATATTGTCTGGTGCACATTAGACCTACATAAATATTTTGTCCCTTTCCCATCCCTACTCCCTGCTGGTGACGGTGGGTATGATTACCACAGTGGTAGTCCAGGAGTCAGAGGTCATATTTTAGAACCAGGGGCTTCTTGAAAAGTCAAAATTGCAACACTGAAAAGTTGAAAGGAATCTCAGAGCAGAGTAATTTGAAATCATAGTGCCTTAGGAAACTTTGTAAAGTCTCCTGGTATTCTACAATTTTTTTCTATCTAAACAGAATTTTTAGATAGAAAATATATTTTATATATTATATGTATATGTGTATGTGTATGTATACACATACATATATATATATACATATATATATAAATTAAGTATCATAAGTAACCTAGAGATGATTTAAAATATACAGGACAATTATGTAGGTTATATGCAAATACTACACAATTTCATATAAGATACTCGAATATCTAATGATGTTAGTACCTGCTGGGGCTCCTAGATCCAATACTTGTGGAGACTGAGGAATGCCTATACACACACACACACACACACACACACACACACAAACACACACACATATTAGGTGTGTGTGTATGTTTAAATATATATATGTATAAATGCCTGTTTCTGTGCAAGATTTAATCGCTATGTACTTCCATTTCTATATTTTTCTATATTTGAATGCCTCCCGTCTGGAGGCTGTGATCTCAGGGGTTCCTCCAAGTTCCAGGGAGGTTTCCATAATTATGCAGCTGGTGACAGAGCCCAGTTTGAAGGCAGTGGTCAGAGACCTTATCAGAGCCACACTCTGGAACTGCAACAACTCATATGTTGCCAGTCAGGAAACTTTTGAAATGATTTCATAAAACTAGTTTCACTTCTGGCCCCACAATACCTCAACAGTTCTTATCTGCTCCATTACACGGGGTTCCTATAACTGGATTTATTACTAAAATTATTAGGATCACAGGATGTTGGCACTGTTTACAGCCAAGGAACTGAGACAAAGAAGTTAACCAACTTGTTTACAGAGGACTGTAAGAATCCTATGGGAACCATCTGTCAGTACTGGTTTTTCAAGGATAGGACTGTCGCTGGATCTGTGGAGAGCTTTGGATTTTTACACATTTTTCTCTAAGTCAGTGTTTTCCAACTCTGCTTCCTGGGACCATAGAGCAGAAGTGGGTCAACGGGGCTTGAACCCTTGTCCTTTGCCTCTGTGAGCCCAGCTCTGTATACACTCACTCTGTTTATTAGCCTAACAGGTAAGATTTTCTTTTAGCTGAGCGGTCCCAGCTTTGAACAGTTTGAAGACCACTGATGGAATTGTTCCCTCAGCTATGCTGCTCAGGATAAACCTTTCCAATTGGAATCAGAACCATTTGTACCACTGTGACAATTGTCAGCCAGAATAAAGTCACCCAAGTTGGCTCTTGATAACCCCCAGCCCAGCCCTAGTTTGCAACCCCAAAACCCACACCTGGGGAATTTGACTAAATTATTTGGTGATAAAAGCATAAGAAATTAATATATTTGGGAAAAAATAAACACTTAGATTTCCTGACTAAAATATCACAGCTTTTCCTAGATTCATAAGATAATTTACACCATTGTGCTTTATTTATTCTTAGTAAAACTTGTAGGGATTGTTCTCAGGATAATGTCAGGGTAATTGTTCAAAATTAAGCTATGGGCCAACCCAAGGACATTGTCCTGGGAATAGTTTGGCTAAAATATACGAAAGATTGCTTCTCTTATCAAAAATATTTCATCTTAAACATAAAGATAAGTGAAGAAAGTTTTGACACAAGATAAAAATAACAACAAATCAGTCAGCAACTGAATATCTTCTGTGCTCAGAGAGCATAGTTAGAAGGCAAATAAATTGTGTCCCTGGGCCCTGTCTCCTTAGGCCTATTTTATAATGGGATGATATATAATATAAGGCACCTCCTTCCACTGGGAGGGATGTGTTCTACACCCTTCCTTTCTCAGGAAGGTAGTTTTGGCCATGAGACACCTTAAAGTATTGGTAAACATCGTTGTTTCTTTTAGCTTTTATTCATTTTTATTTTATTCATTTTTTAAAATTTTAATGGGACTCTCCAATGTTAATAAATTGTTATTGAAGAAATTTTTAAAGTGTATTTAAGCAAAACTAAAAATATACCCAGGATGGATGACTCATGCCTGTAAACCCAGTTTCTCAGGAGGCTGAAACAGGAGGATCACTTGAACCCAAGAGCAAGAGGGAAATTTGGGCAACATAGTGAGGCCCTGTGTCAAATCTATTTTAGAAAGCTATTTTACAGGCACTCCCACCATGCAGATAACCACCATTAACATTTTTTTAAGTAATTCTCCAGATTTATCTATACACATGCACCTTTGCATACTGCACCTATAGTAGCTGATGATGACTGCAGGGGTAGCAACAGCAGCAGGAACAAGAACCAACAGTACTTGTAACAGCAGTGGAGCAGTGGTAATTACCACTACTAAGTCAGCAATAGTAACAAGAGAATTCATAACCACAGTAGCCAGAGCAGCAGAGAAAGCTGTGGCCAGTGTCACAGCGCTCAAGGTGTCTCAGTAGCAGAGACACAAATGATAGTGATAAGAAACCAGTTGAGAGTTACAAAGCACGTATTATGTACCGAGGGCTGTTCTAAGTGCCTTATATATTCTATCAATTAATCCTCATAACAGTCTAAACAAGTAGAGTTGGCCCTCCATCTCTGTGAGTTCCACCTGCATCCTCGGATTCAACTGACCGCAGATAAAACATTATTTTTAATTGCATCTTCATGGAACATGTATGATTTTTTTCCTTGTCATTGCTCCCTAGATATAAAAATTACTTACAGAGCATATACATTATATTAGGCATTAGAAGTAAATCTAGGGATAATTTAAAAGATTCAGAAGGTTGTGTGTGGATTGTATGAAAACTGCATTATTTCATATAAGGAACTTGAGCATTTGCCAGTTTTAGTATCAGTGGGGGATCCTAAAACCAATTCCTCATGGAACCTGAGGGAAGACTATAACTGTATAATTTATATCCCCATGTTACAGATGAGGAAACTGACACATACGCAGACGAAGAAACTTGCCCCAAATCACACAGTTTTAAGGGGCAGAGCCTGAATTGTCGAATCCATAATCTGCTCTGAAGCACCATGTTGGTGGTAATAACAAAAGTAGCATGAATTCTGAAACACTCTGTTTTGTAATTTATATATACTTACCTAATGAGTGAATAAAGTTTGAGAGTGATTCTGAAATTGGAATAATAAAAGAGGAAATGAAGTGAATTTTTTAAAAAGTCTCACAATTAATCTCTTTACATCTCCCAAATTAAATTATCAAAGAAAGTGTATTTTGAAAACACTTTTGCTCTCCCATTTCATTATTCCTAACAATTTGCACCCAACTCTTCGTCCATTTTTCTAACTTTTGGGAGTTCTTCACTGCGGATTTTGTAAGATAAAGAGCAAATTAAGCTTGCTACTTAATGTACCATATTCTCAGTTTATAGATGTGACTCCCCCACTTATGTAAGTGCTCAATAAATATTTGAATGATTAGAGCAATAAGAAATAAAATTTTAGAATCTACACTGAAAGAAAATAGAATTGAGTGAGACCAAACACATGCTACTCTAACCAGAGTACCTTTTAATGCTAATGGAAACAATAGAGCCAGAAGATAAGAGAAAATAGTCAAACAAATGAAAAGGTAAAGGTCTGTCGATGCTTTGGTTCTATTTTGTTTCTCTTTTGCTTCCTATAATTGCACATTTTGAAAATTTAGGGCTGGGGATGTACCTCAATGGTAGAGCATTTGCCTAGCATGTGTAAGGCCCTGAGTTCAATTCCCAGTACTGAGGAAAAAAAGAGAGTTTACTTTACAAAGTACATTTGCATTATTTAGTTCATGTGCACACTTGAGACTGTCCTGACAGAAAAAGATCCCCTCATTTTCCAGAAAGCTATAATTTAAGACAGTAAAAGACAAAAACAAATCATCACCCCAGTGAGTATATTAGTAAAATTTTATCCTCTTAAAAGTATCGAGTCAGGCAAAAATGTATGACTCCTAACATAAATTTGTACATGCTTTTTTAATGATTTCAGACTGCCACAAATGGCAAATTGACAAGAAATAAATCTCTTTAAATTTTTTAAAAATAATAACTTTTAAAATGCCCTCAAAAGTTATCTTAGAACTTTTCTGCTTAGGGTTTCAAGCTGAAGTTTTGGTGATATGACTTGATTTAATTTCCAAGTCTCTTATCTGTAGTTTATTCTTGTTACTTCAGTTGCCACTGGTTTTTAACTTGTACACAGGAAGCCAGTGCCAATCAATTTTGTTCCCAAGGTGACAGGAAACCTTGGCTGGTCAGATGTTGATTGTGCTTGCTGTTCATGCTCCACCCATCATATTTTCTTCCCTTTTGGCTGAACTTAAGACAAATTAATCAGTGGTCGACATCTGGCAGACAGTTTTGGTGTCTTCTCAGTGATTCGTTGACCTGCAAAGTTAAAAAGTAAAAATTCAGTGCATACAATTTGTAGACACTAAATGTAAATGCTGTCAAGGATCCCTTCTAAGGTCGTGCATGAAAGGTCCATCTTTTGACTTTTCAATTGAAAAAAAAAGTGAATTTTCTGTAATAATGAAACATCTGTTGAATAAATATTTCACCTTCTTTATGATGGTGAGTGGCTTACCTCACCCTATTGTAAATTCCAGATATAAAATGTGAAACAGGGGGGCACGGAAAGGCTCAAAGAATGTTAAGCTTTTTAACAGGTCTCTGCTGTTTGTGATTAATCTTTAGCCACCTGCATATTTTCTTCATGAAGACTCCTATTCCACCTAAGCATATCCCTTATCACCAAACACTCTGAGAAAAAGATGTTAGTATCCAGACCGTGACAAATAAGATAACTCACAATGACAGCTTTGTGGGTGATCAAGTCAGGTGACCTTCCAGTCCTTCAAAATCAGGCTCTGTGGAGTCTTTTCTCTCACACTTCTGGTTTATGATTCTACAAAAAGAAAAACTACAGACTGTCCACTAGCCTTGTGAAATGTTTTCAGAAATCACAAGCTTTAAAGATAGTGGTACCAAAAGGTGTCTCTAATTTTACTAGTTCTAGTAAAAACAGATCATGAGAAACATATGAGAAATGTTTTTTTTTTTCTCTAGGAAGATGAAGGAAGGTATCGATGCAGGAAGGTGAGATTAAGATAAACCTAAAAAGGGCAGGTATGTTGGACCGGATAGGCTTTTCCTGTTCCTAAAATGTCTTGTGCTCTTACACAGGAAAAGCATTCTTATTCACCCAAGGCTGTGCTAGAACTGTGCTAGGCACAAATCCTAAGGACCCTGGGTCATGGAGGCAGGACAGCCAGAGAGTGGGTAGGACAGAAAGCATCCAGGGTGGGTCCATAGGGTGGACAGATATCCCAAAGGGTCAATTCATTCTGAGAACAAACTGTTCGTTTTTTCTTATTTCTTAACATTTTCTGCACCAAAATCTGGATACATTTTAAACTGGGGTGGACTCAGGTCATGGAGTCACTGAAGGCAAGCACATTCTGCAGTGCGTTGGTTGCCTTTGGACTCTGTCAGTTCCAGTAATCATCCAGCTACCCTCCCACAGATTCCTCTCCTGGATGTATTATCAGGGCGAGTTTTGACCCAATCTACTTACTTGTTCGGTAAAGCTTCTTCCATAGAAGCGCTAGGACTGTGAAATAAAGATTAGGGGACTAGAAAAATTCACAATGTTTAGAACCCTAACCATTTTTTGTACAGCTATACTCCCAATTTTATCCATAGCCAAGTAGAAGAAGAAAAGCCCAAGATATTAAATAAGTGTTGTTAAGCCATCAGGAAGACTTGAAAAGGACAGGGAAAGAAGCTAGTACTGAACCCAGATGGAATGCCGGGTTGAAAACCTGAAATGTATTTGAAAGGGATTCCATAATCTCTCCCTGCATTGCATTTTAGTCCCCCTTTTGATTTGCATGAGAATCTGTTTGGACAGAAGCAAGCCACTGTGAGTCTGCTCTTCTTTCCACCTGCTTTTCTAACAGCCTTGACTGGGAGTGTTCCCAAGGGGGTCAGCCACCAATTGTTATTCACAATAGCGCTCCCCACCCCCTTGTGAGATACTATGCCAGGAGATGTTTTCTATTCTTGGACAGCGGGTTTTTCTCTGTGCAGCATTGATTGACTGTTACTGGAACCCAGACTGTTCCTTTGGTCTCCTTTGCATCACTTCTCACTCACAAAGCTGAGAGCTTTAGGAGGTTTGGCAGTAATGTACATAAGCAAAAACTTTTATGGGACAGCCAAGCAATAGAGATAACAATGGGTAAATGTCAACAATGCATTTCTTTCAGGGACATATGGCAATGTGTTTTCCTAGATGATCTAGTTTATATAACACAATGCATTTTAAGCCTCTCTTGTCATGCTTAGAGTAGAAAGCACTGTTACTATGGAACATCTCAGAAGAGCTAAACCTTATCCAGTGGAGACCCAAATCTGAGCTTTAATCTGAACTTGGATGGAAATAGTTGTTGGGATCAAAGATAAGGGAGTAGGGAAGTAAGATCATTGATATTGAGCTTGTTCCAACACAGGAGAACATTCCAAGGTCTAGTGTGATCACCAATAAGAAAACTCTATCAGAACAATAAAACAGAATAACTGTACCTCTAGGTGGACAGGAGGAGACTGGAAAAGCCTCAAAATGTCTGTGCTTGTCTTAACATGTAACAGCTGCTAGGTGCAAGGTATGGTACAAGATGCATTACAAATATGTAATATCATTTCCTCTCCATATGTGTATCAGATAGGCAGATTGTATCACTGGACTTTCATAATGTGGAAACTGAGGCACAAACACTTAAGTCAACGTCCATGGTCATAGAGCCCATTAGCTCCAGAGGTGGCATGTGAGCCCAGGTCCGTGTGCCACGGAAGCTAGTGCTCTTTCCTGTTTCCTGCCTCTCTTAATGTCCAAGGTGCTCCATAAATCTTCTGCTTTCACTTCCTCCATATTCATAGTTGAACTTCCCAGTATTCAGTCTTTTCTCAGTGAAGAAACAGAAGCATTTTAAAATAAAGTCACACGTTCAGCCTCACTAACATTCATAGATGGATGCCACCGGAGCGGAGCAGCTGGTGCCGCCTTCCACCCTCCAGATGGCACCTGTGCGCCATTCACAGACAGAAGGAGAGTCAGGGTCCTCGGCAGGCTGGGCTTTTGCTTTTGTTCAAAGGACATTTACAGCGATTTGTTTTTTTCTCTGTCCCCCATGCCCTTTTCAGATTTGAAGCTAAATCAAATCAAAGGAACATGCAAAGATCCTAAAGCTGACAGGGAGCCACCAGAACTTTTCTTCCCAGAGGTCCCTGGTTGCCACCTAGAGAAGGCAGTTCCAGCAGGGATGCTGTTCCCACAGTAATGCCACCGTCAGGTTTTCCAACGGGGACATCTGTAGCCCTTTAGAGAAATTCTCATTTGATACCCATCAGAAGGGCTTAGATCTCTCTTCTTTGTCAGCAAGAAGGAAGATTTGTGCTAGAGGGAAGCAATGGAATTTGAATGCTTGTGCCTTTGTGATTTTCATTCTAAAAAAAGAAAGGACTTTTTGCCCTCTTTCTTCCTCTCCTAGCAAAACAATAATGCGATCTAGTCAGGGAGTTTTGTAAGTTCCATTAGGGCTCCTATTGAAAAGGAATTTCTTGATAAAGCACAATTGGACTGTAAAGATGATCTTCAGGAAAGGATGCGGCTTGCATGAGTCTGTGGAGTTTGCATTCATGAACCCTGGGTTCCCGTAAGGCTACGCGTTTTATCTAGGGCAGCCCCCAGCGAGTTGGCAGTACTTGAGAAAGCCTGCTGGGAGGGGGAGCCAAAACGGCCCTCCTGTCAGTTGTTTTCCTCCACAGGATACTGGGTGATTCCTGTCCTAACCAGATACTGATTACTTAAAGCTTAGCCCAAGAGTTCTTGTCAAAATGATTTCCGCAGAGTATTTTGACTTGCTGAGGTCTGAAGAACTTTTAGGACTTGTTAGGTGTGGACCTGAACTCCAGGAACTGGTCTATGGTATTTGGTCAGTGAACTCCATCCGCTGGAACAGATTGTCTTAAGCACCTCATTTTCATCATCCTTCACACGTCTCTGGATGTCCTCATGTGACACAGAATTATTGGTGGAAAACACATGCATTGGTAATTCACACGAACGAAAGCAAAAGAAATTCAAAGGTCTTCACATTTTTTTTTCAGCCATAATTCAAACATTTGCAACCTGGTATAAATATGTTTGGCTCAACAAATCTATTTCCCCCTCAGAACTATATTCTTGTACCTTGGAAACATCGCACCTTATTGACAATATAGATGAACTCAAAACATGGAAACTGCTAAAGATTTTTTTGTGGGGGTGAATGCATCATTTTCTTCACATGAAACAAAGGATTAATGTTAACATCCAACTTTTCGAAACATTTTACCATATATACAACTTGGAATGGTAAGACATGAAAAGGGTGCATGTTTGTGTATAAAGGAGTAGACCATGAAGAATCTTTCAAATTTTCCTTAGATGTGTGACTTCCATTGTTACAGTTTTATAGTACTTTGTTTCTTCAAATAAGTAGACAACCAATAAAATAAAAAATAAACAAATAAAACAGTAAAAAACACAAATAAGTAAATAAATCTCAGCATTGTTTCACAGGCTGACTTTCACTGAAGAAAAAAACAATAAGTAGACAAGAAGAAATTCCAAAATCCACAAATAATATTTAAATCAAAGTGATAGTTTTTTAAAATCTCATTTTATCTGAATCAGATAGTTTATATTTGGAGTCCTTTCAAATACTACGGTTGTATAAGGATTTTTTTCTTTTGCTATTGGTACCTGAACCCAGGGATACTTTCCCACTGAGCCCACATCCCCAGCTCTTTTTAATTTTTATTTTGAGACAAGAACTCACTAAGTTTCTTAGGGCCTCAATAAATTGCTGAGATTGGCTTGAATTTGTGATCCTCCTGCCTCAGTCTTCCAAATTTCTAGGATTACAGGTATGCCTGGTTAGTATAGGATTTTTTTTTAAGAGCATTTTATTTTTACCTTCTTTGCATAAATCTCTGTTCAAACCAGAAATAAGTAAACATGATTACAGGAAAATCCCTGACTACTTATCAAGTTTTATGTTATAATTGTGTAATACATAATAAATCTAAACACTATTTTTTTAATTCTTTTGGAATCAGTGAAAAACATTATAAGCAGAAGAAATGATTCATTTCTTGTCAGTCTTGAAAAATCTCAGTGTAGTTAATTCTCATTTTATTTATTTCCTATGCCCACAAATTCCTGCCATGCATAAAAAAAAAAAACCAGGTGCATAAAAGGGATTGAAATAAGTCAATTATCCTCGACCTTGTTAGAGTTGCCAGGCATTCTGTGTATAGGGCACATGTCCTGTATTTAATGATTTTGTCCTGCATCCTGTAGTCATTTTGTCAGGATGCCCTGAAGGTCCTGTGTTCAGTTTTTGTTTTTATTATATTACAAAAAATGTAGCAGTTCACACCGTTTTTCAAAATCTAACTGGGCATCCTGTATTTTTATTTGCTAAGTCCAGTGACTCTATCCTTGTCATCCCTTGTTAGAGTCTTTCAGTCATTACACGCATTTGCATCTCCCTTGAGTGTACTCTCACTAGTAGAAATAACCATTTTCAGAACAAGTGTCACTAGTGTAGATTAGGACTGCTTAACATGCTGGGATGATAGAGTTAGTATCTGAAGTCCTTCTAGACTAACATGCACCTTTTATGTGAAAGGCAAAGCATTGAAACGAAAGTCCATTATTCATTATTCCATCACTCACAGAAACATGTCCTGGAGATATAATAAAAGTGGCATCATTGAATATCTCAGAGATGAAGAGTTGTCTACATAAATATTAAGATTTCTATGTTAAAAGATCTCTGGTGAAAAAAAAATAGTGAATTATAAAACAATACCTGAGGGAGAATAGTTTGTTAGAGACAAGGAATATGCTTATCGCCATTATTTAAAAGCCTGTTTTTACATATTCTCCATTGCCATCTGCCTTAGAGAAGTGTCATTGAATATATTAAGTTTGGAACATTTTAATTTTATCTTTACAGTTATAAAAGTCATTTGGACAGCAAATTTTTACATTGAAAACTTAATGATTACCCAAGTTGCATATCCAGAAGGCAGACTAAAGTGTCTCCCATGATAGATACGTTATTTTAAACCATCTCTCACGACTAGTGGTGACAGCTGATGATGTAGGTACTCTGATGCAATGCCCAAATGCTTACCACCTTGTATATTCAAAAACAGTTGAAAGGATTCACTTCCATCTGTGAGTCTCAGCAGTAGTCACAAAGTAGAATGTCACCAGAGAATATGCACAATAAATGATCTATCTGTTGGAGCAAAGTAAGAAGACATTAGAATCTAGGCCTGGTGGGTGACTTGGGAGGCTGAGACCAGGGCATCATAAGTTCAAGGTCAACCTCAGCAACTTAACAAGACCCTCTCTCAAAGTAAAAAATAAAAAAAAAAAAGGTCTGGGGATATAGCTAAGTGGTAAAGCAATCCTGGGTTCAATTCCTAGTACCACACACACAAAAATAGTAATAATAATAATAATTAGAAAAGAAAAAGGGAAAGGAAAAAATACTGTCAAAAACTGTATTTGGTATTTCCTTGCATTTTACTACTTCAAATTTTATAAATATTTAAAAATTTTCATAATCTGTAGTATAGCAGCTCAGGTATATCATTTATAAGTAAATTTCAGTGGAGGTGTGGCTTAATTTCTTTTATTATAAGAATGGACACTAGAACAAAAGAAAATTACTAAAAATGTTCCCTGAAAATGGGCGATAAATTTCAAGTGTAGTTCTAGTGGACTCGGTCCAAGTCTTTTCTAGCATGTCTGTAATTCCAGTGTCCTAATAACTCTATTCTGTTATAATGACTTCAAAACTGATAAAGGGAGGGGAAAAAGAGATTAAAAAGGTGCTTATTGTAAGGTCTTAAATAACAAGGAAAATTTGTTTTTGCCATACTGAGTATATAGGAGGAAATTATATTGTGTCTCTATAGACATATTTGCACAAATAAGCAAAGAGAGAGTACAAAAATGTGTATGATAACATGGTTTAATAGCAAAGCTAACTGGAAATAAATAATTGTATAGGTGTTTAGCAACCACATGTAGTATTTTATATTTATTTATGAAACCCACATTGTTACTTTAATAAGTTTTTCAATATATGAAGTAGAAAAAATATTGCAAAACTGTATGAAATTTTATGATCCATGTGTATCTTAAGAATACATAAGAATCCAAACAGTGGTGTGCAGTGAGAAGTAGAGTCAAAAATGAGGAGATGGAAGAAACTAAGGGAAAGAGGCCTTTCTTTTTCACTTTCTTCCTTCTGTGTAATTTGGAAATTACAAAAAAGCTGGGAATATAGATATTTAGCATGTGAGATACTTAGCATGTGATATAGATACTTAGCATGTGAGAGGCCCTGGGTTCAGTCCCCAGCACTACAAAATAAACAAATAAAAGCTTTATAAAAATTAAGATCTACAAATTCAAATAAGATATTATTTTATTTGAAATAACAGATTTTTATAACACAGATACATCCATTTAACATAAAATGAAGTGGAACTGGAACATCAACCACATTTTTTTTTAATAATAATGTAGACAAACACAGTCATTAAGATCAAGAGGTATTTTGGGATATCAATCTCAGATTAATTAAGTAATGCCAAAACTACCTTAGTCTCCTTTATCTTCAGTTTCCCTTTCCATGATTACAGATAGCTGTGATAAACTATGGTACAAAAATATTATGTTGAAAAATGCTGAAGTTAAAAAAAAAAATCATAAGTATTAAATTGCACATCCTTATGAGTAGCATGATGAAGTTTTATACTATCCCACTCTGTTTTGCCCTAGATTTATATTACCCTTTGGTCCAGTGTATCCATGCTGCGTATACTAACTAGCTATTAATCATTTAGTTTCCCAATACTTGGGTTCAAGTAACTCTTACATAGTTACAGAGTAGCATCACATGACATCACAATGCCTGTATCAGCCACCTTACTTCGTCTCATCATAAAGACATTGTACCATCACATATTATCAAAAGAATGGTGAGGACAGTGCCATAAGGTATTTTGAAAGAGAAAGATACCACATCCACAAAACTATTACAGAATATTGATAAAATTGTCTTATTTTTATTATTAGTTATTGTTAGTCATCTCTTACTGGCCCTAATTTACAAAGTAAACTTTATCATAGATAAAAGGAAAGGCAGTATATACAATGCTTAAACTATCCAAAGATTCAGGCATTCATTGGGGGTGTTGCAACAAATCCCTTTTCCATAGAAAGGGCCTGCCACACACTTTATGCTATGAAGACATAGCTATGAGGTCTACATCTCATGGTTCTTGACATCATGCTCATTCCTTTCATCATGACATGCTTCCATTCACACCTATAGAGAGTTATATAATGAACATCCATGCCTATACTATCCAGTTTAATTAATAAAACATTATAAATACAAATAGAAACTCTGGTTGATTTTGCTGAGCATGTTGGTACACACCTGTAGTTCCAGCAATTTGAGAGGCTGAGGCAGGAGGATCACAAGTTCAAGGCCAGCCTCAGCAACTTGGCAAGACCCTGCCTCAAAATTTAAAAAGGGCAGGAGATAGAGCTCAGTTGTATAGCATTTGCCTAGCATGAGTAAGGCCCTGGGTTCAATCGCTGGCAAAGAAGGAAGGAAAGAAACAAACAAACAAACTGGTGTATTTTAACTAATCTAATTGTCTTTCCTCTCCCTTGAAGGCAACCACTATTCTAAATTTAATGTTCATCATCCCCCTAAATATTTTTATACTTTTACTAGTAGGTATACATCTATGTGTGTGTGTGTATATATTTATATGTTCATATATAGTGTATGATTTTTTCATCTTTGTACAAATGCATCTTTCTGTTTTGGTAGATCAAAGACCTAAATGTCAGGGCTAAAGGTATTGTTCTAGTCTGAAGGCCTGCAGCTTTGAGATCCAGAAAAAGAAAATTGATACTTCAGTTTGAGACTGAAAGCAGGAAAAAGTCAATGCCCCATTTCAAAGACCACCAAGTCATCAGGATCCTTACTCTAGGAAAAGTTCGCTCTTCTGTTAGATTCAGGACTTTAATTGATAGCGTGAGGCTTACCACACCAGAGAGATCAATCTTCTGTCCTCCCTATATAGATTTAAATGTTAATCTCACCCAGTATACTATTACAAAAACACCCAGAGTATTGTTTGATCAGATGACTGTCCTGTTGACACATTAACTTAACCATCACAGACATTGTCAAAAAGTAAAAAGACAATCAACAGAATAGGAAGCAATATTTCCAAATCATATGTGATAAAGGTCTAGTATCCATGTAAAACTTTATAACTGAAAATAAAAAGGGAATAAGGCAAAAATGGGCAAAGAATTAGAAGATACACACGTGTTCAGAAAGTTCTTCAAAAGATGCTCAACATCATTAGTCATTAGGAAAATGCCATCCAAGCCACAATGAGATACCACTCTATACTCACTAAAATGGCTATGGTAAAATACAGACAGTGACACGTATTGGACAAAATGTGGAGAAACTGGAACTCGCATACATTGCTGCTGGGGATGCAAAATGGTCCAGCCACTTGGGAATAACATTTGGTAGTGCTTCAGAAAAGTTAAACCTAGAGTTACCATATGACTTAGCCATTCCACTGCTAGATGCATCTCCAAGAGAAATGAAAACACATTTCCACGCGCAAACTTGCACACCAATGTTTGTTGCAGAATAATTCTTAGTGGTCAAGATCGGAACCAACTGAAGTGTTCATTAGCTGACAAATGGATCAACAAAAGGTAGCATGCTTATACATGAAACATAACGCACCATAGACAGGACTGCAATACTCCTAGATGCTACAATGTGAAAGACTCTGAAAACACAATCCTACATTAAGGACGTCAGACACAGATGGCCACGTATCACAGTATTCCATGTGTATGTCCACAACAGATAAGTCCATAGATATAGAAAGTAGATTAATGGTTTGTAGGGACTGGGGAGAGGGAAGAATGTCAGTAGGTGGGTAGTTTCTTTTGAGGGTAAAGAAATGTTTTAAGATTTATTGCGGTGATGTTTACACAACTCTGTGACTTTACTAAAAACCACTAAATTGTACACTTTAGAAAGGTGAACTTTATGGTATATGAATTATATATCAATGAAAAGGGGGGAGTATACATAAATTAAATTTTATATCAAAATGTTAGCGGTTTCTAGAAAATTAATTGGACATTGCTTCTGGGCATTTTAAAATTTTATTTGATTTGGTTGAAGCATGCTAATTTAGAACACTTTTATTTCTGGAAATGTATTTCCTGCAGCGAGTATAAAAGTATCCTTTACATGACAAATTTCAGTTCACTCTTTAAAATGAGTATGATATTTTGCATTCCAGAAATATTTATTTTTTACCAGTACATCTGCTCCTTGGACATAATATATAGACAATAAAACAGTATCAAAACTTTGAATTCTGCACTTTGCTCGATACTCATGTTATCTGCACTTAGGTGAATGGCTACTTGATTTTCAGGATTATCTTGCAATTATTCCGTCTGTCAGTGGATGAGAAAAGACCCAGAAATTAAAATAAATTATTTGAGTCCGAAAGCAGTGAAAAGTCAAGGTCCTATTTCAAAGATCACCAAGTTCATTCATCAGATGAACAAATCCCATAGTTGAGGGAAAAGGCTTATTTTAGGTATTGGCAACTGGGTTTGATGATTTATATTGAAACATCTATCCTGCCCTAGACACCACTGATACCATGAAGGTGTATTTACATTGGCAAGAATGTGATCATAGTGATCAAATCAAGTGCCCCCTCTTCATTTATCACTAACACCACTCTTCTAGGTGGTTGGCGCCTTCCTTCCTTCCACCTGAGGGTGATGATACTTTGAATACAATCTGTGGCCACAGAGTAACTCAGCAAAGTCATTGACTCTTTGCTGCCCTAAAGGAAGCAACTCCCTACTCTAAAATTCCAAGGTGAAAGGCCAGTGACTTGTAGAGGGCAATGGTCATCCTGGTTTATTTGCAAAGGACCTAACTGACCAAGACCGGCATTGCATTAGTGGGTGGTACCCTTTAAAATGAACTCTGAACAAACACAGGAATGTATATTTAAATAAATTATTGTTCTTGGCGGAACATTTGGGGAAACTCTGGAAATGGTAGATTTTCCTAATTTTGATTGAGAGTTCATTTTAGGTAAAGGTGGGTCTTGATGTGCCCTCGAGGCTAATGACTTAAGATTACAGCTTCTTATGTCAAAAACCAGAGAAGGACCTCTAGGTGCTTTCAGATAGACATTAGATGCAATTACTTTTTAACGTAACTATTTCTTCCCATCAAGGTGAAGTTTTTCTTTGTGAAAATTTAATTTTATAAATGTTTCTCTCTGGTGCATTGGTCAAGTTCAAGGATTGGTATAAAACATGGTATAAAAGGATTGGTATAAAACATAAATATCTTTTATAAACTCTTAAGCACGTCTCCATGCTCTAACAGGCTACATGGTATTAGAATAATCTGCTTAGGATTCTTTCCTCAGAGTCTATAAAGTTCTCAATGTCAGAGGCCACATCTTATTAACATTAGCCAATGCCCTCCACCCCCAGGGCCCAGCCCAATTTCTAGAAGAAAAAAAAAATAGGTATGGATATGTGTTTGTTATTGAACTAAGTTCAGTATATCTAGTGGTTAAGAATGAAATTCACAGACCTTACTGAGTGAATTTTGATAAAGTTAACATATTTGGTTTCTCTGTATATAAGATGACAATAATCATAACATCTGCCTCAAGAATAGTTGTGACAATTAAATGAGATTGTTTCCTTCCAAGTTGAGCTGAGACCAGCTGGTTATTGCTTCAGGATTTCAATGCAGTAACTAAGCCAGGATCCTGCTTGTTTCTAAGCAGAGTAAGGATGAAGTTATTGACCATCAATACTTTCACTTTTCTTCCTTTTCTTTTCCTGCAACCTTCTATGCCCCTTAACCAGAGGGGATGGAAATGAGGAAATTTACTCTTCCATTGTGAACATATAACAAGCAAAGGGTCCAAATCCTGAGGGAATATTAGGTACCTTTTTAGGGGGTGGGTATGTAATTGTGTGCACACAGGTGTGAAGAGAGACTGAAAAACATACATCAAAGGTGAAGGCAGGGCACCACATCACATCTTAAAGATGTATAAAGAAAAATTGCTGCTACAGATACATTTACTGGGAAATTTGCTGCCTCTCACTACACTAGCAGAGCAAGGCAGATATATGGAATCTTGAACTGTGATAAAATGTTCCCATAATTTCATTTATAAATCCATAGTGAAAATTTATCATTACTGACATACATTGTTCCTGTTCTACACGATGTTACTCATAAATATTCAGTTTTGTTAAATAAACACACATATAGGTTGAAAACAAAATTTTCCAGACGTATCTATCACCAGCTAAAAATAATAAGAGTTGCCAATGTCTCTGCAGGATAAATGCATATATTCCACAGAAGCTTTATGGCACCTGCCAGGCAGAAAGTGTCTCTCCACAAAATGTTTTCAGTCATTCTGGCCCATTAAAAATAAAATAGGAAAACTATTTTATTTTTCTACAATTGACAAAATTTTTATTAAACTTTCAAAAAGTAAATCTTTCATGAGTAAAATGATGCTATGATAAAATTGTTAACAAACATCAAATATAAGACCTTACCAAATATTTACCAACATTTAATTCAAGAAGATTTTCATTACCCCCAAAAGAAACCCCACATGCATGGGCATTCCCTCCTCAGTTCCCCACTCCTCAACCTCTGGCAATCCTATCTATTTTCTATCTTTATAGGTTTTTTCTATTTGGGGCATTTCACGTAAAAGGAATCATACAAT